TAAGAAACACAAGAACAGGGACCTTGTCTGTCTTATTGTCCTCATTGCCTAGAACAGTGTCGGGAATATGGTTAAGTGTTCAGCAGATACATACTGAATGAAGAAATCTTGGCGAGATAAAAGAAGTTAGACTACAGTTGATGCAAACAAGAATAAAGACATCTAGGACCATAAATTCAAGGACGTTGTTATTATTCTGAACTTCCAGCCAGAGCAAGAGAAGTACATCCATGTCGCTACCTCATTTAGGGCAAAGGAAATAGGAACTCTGGTTAATATGTGCGCCATTATTATGAGCTCTTGCACCATGAGGGTACTGAGGAGGTGCTGGCAGAGGGGAAGTGGGGCAGCGCCATGTACATATCCATCGCAGGAGCTCTGGGGCTTCAAGGTAGGTGTTCAGGGTATTAAATGCAATGAGGGCTCTTTGGGACTTGAGAGTGGCCAGGAGGCAACTTTGAAATTGATAGCTGGAACCAAGAGCGCTTGGATTGAAGGTTTGCAAACAAAGGGCCATGCGGAGTTTCTGTTAAGGAGGCTGGCAGGCACCAAGGAAGGCAAGGAGCTCACCCAATGTCCTGGACCATTAAAATCTGGAGGGTTCAGATGGCCTCCGAATGCTCCATAGGGCAGTACCTCAACTGGAGGGATTGTCCTTAATATTGGGAAGGTGGGGAATGGTATCACCCTTCTTCAAAAGTAATACTCTTCCCTGTGCTAAAGCTATAAGCCAGGTCTGTAGTTTCTTTAGTAGCTCGTTTACAAAGAATTCTCCTAACAATACTATACACATTAACCAAGATTTGTCTATCCCTTTGCTCTAATTAAGTTTAAGGGTGAGACATAATCATTCTTACTCTGACCTGAAACCCTGGGAGCCAACTTGAAGTGTAAAGTCCCAAAGTAATTCAATACTTACTAAATTTAAAGGAAGTAATCAATTTCTAATTTGAATTTATGCACATTCTTTTCCCACTTTAACACTGACTTATTTCCCTTCGGTTGCTCTTTGGTCATTAAGATTGTCAGCAAGGTTACAGTCAATGAACAATTTGTCACATGCTACAGATAGTTCTAGACCAAATTAAATTCTCAATGTACTTGCATATAACTAAAAAGTGTATTCGACACTTAAGGACAGAGACTACATGCTCTATATTCACAGCCCCATTGCTCCACAGAGAGTGTGGCGTCTAATAGGTGTTCAGTAAATATTTGCAGAATGAAAGAAAAAAAATCTATCTACCTTGACAGAATTATTTTCATCCATTCAAAACCTCAGGCATATCTGTCCTAGCATGTGTGTCTGTGCCTATGCATGTATGTGCCTCAAAATTCCCACATGCTCACCCATTATCCTTCCTCTTGGCATGTGTGTTTGAATAATAAAGCACTGAAGCAAGGTTGACCATAAAAGTAGTCCCCAAAAAGATATTCTTAATGAACATTTCCCTCAAACATGTCAACCTTCCAGCACCCAACAGTTGAACTCAATTTTCATTAGGGAAGCTCTTTCCTTCTCCCTAGAAAACATACACCTTTTAAAGTTTCAATTGCCAATGTACCCCTCTAGTTCATATGAACAGAAATTCAGTTTACTTGTCATGCTTTCTCTGGAAAGTTCATTGTGAACCACTTTGCTAACTTAGACTATTGCTACTTCTGCTCAAGTGCCCAGATGTCTTCCTTGTTTTCAACTCTTATTACTTCTTGAAGCTCGACTCCCTCACCTGTATTCCTGAGACAGGATGACAAAAGCCAGACTACACTTCCATCCTAGGATATCCTGCCCTGGAGGTGCTCAGCAGGTCATTGGAAATTGGAGTTAGCCTGGAGCTCCAGAATGAGTTAAGGATTGGAGAGGTCAATTGGGGAATCATTAGAGTAGGGGGGAAAGGTGAAGCTATGTGATGCGATGAAATTACCCAGAATGAGAACACAGCAAACGAAGAGAAGCAGACCAATGACAGGACCTTGGGAATTGCTCCATTTAAAAGTTGGGGGTGGAGGGGGGTGGCTGCACACTTAAGAGATCCTAACAAAGGACACCCAAGAACTGTGGAGAAGACGGGTGAACTAAGATTAATTAGGAATGCTTTCAAGTAAGAGGAGAGGTCCCAAAGTGCCAGAACCTCCAGAGTTCAAGAAGACTGAAGTCGGAGAAGAAGCTGTTGGATTCTGAACCATGATGGGCACATATAGCCTTTTCCTGATCCCATTCTTTGCAACAACTCTATAAAGTACATCTTACATAGGAGGAAACTGAAAGTCCGCAGAGGATAAATAAATTACTCAAGGTCACACAGCTAGAAAGCAGCAGCACCAGGATAGGATCCAAGGACAGTTGGACTCTAAGAGCCCATACTCTCAGTCTCTGAAGTAACACTTCCGCTGTGCTGATGTTAGCTAGGGAATCCATGCATGCATGAGGGGAAGAGAGCTGATATGGGCTGAGCATCTCCTATTGTCAAGTGCTTTGCTCAGGACATCTCCTTTCACACATATACTATCAACATTCCATCTGTGTTTACGTAAACCTTAGGAAGGCCTCTTTAAAGAAATCTGATTCAACTTTTTGCAAACAAAGTTGAAGCTACATGATTCCAAAACAACCAGTTACAATTCACATGTATTCACAGTGGTTTGAAAGTTAAAAAAAGGTGTGGCATCATTGATTTGGTGGTTGTTACTGATATTCGAATTACTGACAATCAAACTCATCTGAAAATTGAAGGAATTTGACAGGATGATCTTAAAGGCCTTCTCCAGCCTTGACTTTCTCTGATTGTCATATGCAGGTTTATTTCTTATCTGCCAGTGATTTTAAAGATATGAATACAAAGTAGAATGTAAATGCAGCAACAGAACTGATTGGTATGTCAGGTCAGCATCCTTTTATTCCTTAAATTCATAGAGGCTTGCTGGTAAAATGATTATAAAAATAGTCTGGTTGTTCAAGGCACTGATCGCCAACTTAAACACAAGCTCGGAAACCCCGTCATAAAATGGTATGTACACTGAAAATCCAAGCCAACTAATTTGCTTACAAGCAATTGCAGACTTTCTAATATGGCTGGCTATAGGAGATGGAGAGAGAGAGAGAGAGAGTGACAAACACTCTGGCAATTAGTGTTTTTGCTGTCTATAGAAAAACAAATGAGGCTGTGGTCTGAAACAATTAGCATAACTGTTAATTGTGCATGTGCGTATCAATAATACAAGGCATTTGGGATGGCTTCCACTGATTGTTCCCTTCTTTCTCTGGATTACAAAATCCATTCAGACAACTAAATAATAGCAAGTAGTTATGCAAATTGTTAATTATGAAGCAGAGATCATCATAATCTTGTGTATTTATAAAACTGCATATACAGTGGAGATCACCAAATGAATTACTGCCTTATTATTTTACTAGTGGTTGAAAAGTATGCTAGCTTTGCAAGTAGTTTTCAGACATCATTCAGTCCACCAGAATTAAAAATGGCCCCAAGGATATTTACCAAAGCCATTTCTTTTCCATCTCACCATCAGTACTCCTCTTTTCTCACAAACTAACACCAGGTATAAATTGCTCTGATCAGCACCATAGTAAAAACAGGGTATGTCAAGATTCGCTTTGTTATATAACAAAACCGTTACAGAGACATGGTTTTATTACGTAGCCAATTGTAAAGAAAAAATAAAACAAAAATCTCACTATTTTCCCCATGAAAGCCATTATTGAGATAGTATTCCCTGTTACTGACCATTGTCTTAATGGTCACCCACTGTTTTATTTTACAGATGAAATCAACATTCACTGAAGAAATGGGACTTGAGCAAAGTCACCCCACTAGTTAGTAACAGAACCTAGGACTCGTGCCACATTGACACATCTGATCTATGATCTTTAAATGCCCTCTCATACAATATTGTGTGATTAGGTGTCTCTGTATTTCTATGCCATTTATCTTAATGAATTATAATTTGACTGTGGAATTAACCACTGAATTTACCATTCTCAGCTGTCAAATAAATCCACTGAGGCCCTGATGTGAATATGGAAGCCCAGCTATTGAAAGCTAAACTGGGAATCTAAAAAATAGCCCATCAGTTCTGTTTTAATAAGTCTGCCTTAGTGGAGGAATGTTGAAGCTATAGCTTTCAGTCTTGCTAACCTATTTGGCCAGGCAGCAGAGGATGGCATTTTAGGTGGACAGGAAGAGAAAGCAGAGACAGTGGTAAATATTTCTGAAGCCAATAAGCCTATCATAGGCCAAACACAGTACTGGTGAGCATCATAATCTTAGAAAACAACGTGCCCAGCAACTAGAGTGCACATTTACAAAACGGCTTATGATTCTCACCAGCCAATTCAGCACTGGGAGCAATACGATGGAGCACTTGTGGCAGCAGTCCTTGCCAGCAGAGGCCCTGTCCTGGAACAGTCTCCATATCCTTCCACAAGCACAGTTAGGATTGCTCCTGTATTTGATTAGATTTGCTCTGTGGTAGAGTTCATATCATAAAGGCTCTTGGCCTATGGGATTATTCTACCTTGCAAGCCTACATATTTACATACTTCAAAAACCCTGATATTTTCAAATAATTGATTTTCCTTCAATGAAATGCTGACATAGTTGTTCCATAAGCCACCATCAAACCTGGCAACAGGCAGGCATGCCTGAAGCACCGTGAAGACCACTCTGTGGATGGTGGGGTCTCTTTATAGAAACAGTCTACCGAGTCATCCCACGTCAGCAAAGAGGAGGAGGAGCTAATGACCAAATGACCAACTGTGCTGTTCCTGAACTTTCACCCCACTTCAGAAGTGGGTCAGCTTTCAGACCTGAGACTAAATGCCTGGGTAGTTTCAGCTCTTTTAAACTTAGAGCCCTGGGAAGAATCTGTCCAAGCCAAAACATATTAATTGTATTGAAATTAAACTTACAGGCAGCTGCAGAGTCTATTTACTTTAGTTTACTTAGGGTCAGTTAAACTAAAAATACATTGTCACTTACCTTGCCGCATCTAGAATCTGAAAAATCCTCCACCTGTTAAAGGAACAGTAAAACCAGGTGCTAGCAAGGGGTTGGTAAGAGAAAAGTTAACATAATAAAAGTTTTCCACTTTACTTTGATGGCATAGTTTTCCAGCTTCCCAAACCGCAAGGGAACAGCTCCTGGATGGCTCTCCCTCTTTGCTCCCCATTAGTTCCTCTCAAGCCAAGGGGTCATTACAAATCAGAACTCTGCACCAGACAGGGCAGCACCCGGAGCCACACCTCTGGAGGGCTAGGGGCTGAGAATGACAGACCTACCCCTCAGTCATGCTAATTCTATGCCCTTTCATGAAAACGATGGTACTCTAAGCAAAAAACCAAAGTCACTAAAGCCCAGACCCAAACCAAACCAAACCACACCAAATGCTGATTGAAAGGACCTGGGAAGAACAGAGACACTTTTCCTATTATCAGGACTACATGAAACGTACATAACAAAAAGAAAGGAAAAGAATGAATGATGAGGCTTTGCTGATGCTCTTCAAAAGGATGAAAATTCAAAGCACACACACAAAGTGAAACATAAATCATCACTCTAGCCCCTTCCACCCAAACACAAGACATCCACCGATGTAAACAATGTCTCTCCATTCCGAAAAAGAAAGGCTTAGCTGTTTTCGTAATATATGTCTTAAGAGTCACAAAACACTAATTCTACTATGTGAATTTCTGCTATTGGCAGGGACTGTGAAGTTGTGCATGGGTCAATTGCTAATTTAGGAGTTCAAATAGGCCCAGTTAGCTTTCCAGTTTGCGTTAAGCCAGAACAGGGGATATTACAATGTGATAACACTTCTGTGCCCAAGACGAGTTACATGGCCTGTACATTTTCTTGGCAGAAGTATTCCCATACATCGCATATGTCTGGATGCTTTAGAAATGAATTAAAAGAGAATTCTAATTGCAGGACTAATGGGAGACCCTTTGCATCATCACTGGAGAAGCACTGTAAGACTTTTATTATCAATTCCTGATGTGGCTGAGCCCCCTTCTCTGGGTCTGTGAGTTGGTAAGACTGCTGGAAAGGCAAATGCTATGGGAAACAAAAGTGGTGTGTACTTGGTGAGCCCTGACAACAGATGTTAGACAAGACACCTCAGTTAGTTGACTTACCATTTGGGGTCCAGTGTGCTCCACTTCCATGCCAGCCGTAAGAAAAAAGTTATCTAGAGTATTCTGACCTACCCCATGAGTTTGTTCCCCTACATAGTGAAGAGAGGCTAAGACCTCTTCCACTGTACTTGGCCTCATGAACAAAAAATAACACAACTTGGGTAAAAAATACAACAAAGCAGGAAAACAAAGCTATATGTTGATTCCTAGCACAGTACTAGAAAACTCCAAAGTTAAATATGTAGCATTTTCCAAAGCTGTAATTTTCATTTTGCTGCACTAATAGAAATCTTCAAATAATATAAATATGTACATAGCTGATTTATATGGAGTCTGGATGACATTTAACTTTAATCAGGGGAACTATTGTCTCTTGAGATTATCGTTATTTTATTTCTATGTAAACTTTTCAACTACCTATTAAAGTTTGCCCAGTGATTGCAGTAAGACATCTAGAAGCCTATTGCCTTACCTGGGAGTCCAGGTTGCCAGAGGTAGAATATTCAGCAGTGAGCCGGGAAGATATTTCAGGTGCATCAATCAAAATGGTGAGTAGTCATCAGAAGTGAATGATAGGCCATGGAGGGAAAGGTAAAAAAAAAAAAAGGGGGGGTGGGGGGAGACATACTAATTAGAAAAAAATGAATTAACCTTATGAACCCATTTCATGCACACATGCACATATGTACACACAACTCACTGTTTAGGAAGGCTCTTAAATGGGATCTTTTAAAAAGACTAATAAAAAGAAAGGATAATTATGTAATGTGATAAAGGTGCTAAATATCACTACACCAGCAATCACATTACAATACATGAGTCAAATTAACACATTGTACACCTTAAATTTATACAATGTTGCATGCAAAATATATTCAATAAAAAAATCACCCCACAAAATAATTATTATTTATTCCATGACAGGCATTGTTATAGGTACTGAGGATACAGCATGAATAAAACAGGCAGAAATCCCTGTCTTCACGGAATTAACTATCTTGTGGAAGACTTTTTAGGCCATCTGCTTGGAAAAGAGTTCCAAAGAAATATACTATATGCTATTAACCCTAGGGAAGTCTCTCCCCATTTTATTTGTCTTTATTTATGTATGGAGAAGATATCCAATGGCATCAGAGTCAACATTTGTATTAGAAAGAATCCTCTTTCTGCTTGGAAGGGACGTTCTTTTTATTCATGATTTCTCCTGTGGAAAGCCCCCAAAAGGCTGTTCCAGATGGGCCATTTGCTGCCCACTGAATTCCACATGCTCGCATCTCAAAATGCTATAAAAACAAGAAGGCTTCAAATGGTAGCTTCATCATAACTGCAGTGCCACATCCCAGCAGTTTTCCTCATTGGATGCTGTAGTGTTCTGTACCAGCCAGCCCGGGTGACACTCCGTGACTGGCTCCGTCGCCTCTGGGAATGCAACAGCAGCTTCTGGAGCTGTGGCTGTGCCCGTGCCCCAGGCGCTGGATGGAGAAGCAGCAGTAAGAGGAACCTTCCTCTGGGCCGAGGTTTGAAAAGGTGTGATTAAATATCCCTCAAGGGACAGTTACTGCCCAAATATCAATTAGTAGAGAAAGGAAAAGATGGAAATGAGGGAAACCCATACATATCACTGCGGAAATAGGAACTGGGTGAGACTCGGAGCTCCCAAACTCCAGGTGGTGGTTCATGCTAACCAAAAACCTCAAACGATGGCACCTACCCACTATCATTGATAACAAATGAAGCTGTCTTTTCACTTTGATGATAAGGATCCAAATGAAGACATAGAAACAACAGGAAGAGGTAAAATTCTGAGAGCCCTTGCCTGAAAGTCAGGATCCCTAGTTTCTAATCCTGGTTTTATCAACTTAGTTGATCTTGGGAAAATTATTTTCTCTCCCCTCTCAGGGAGCAATATGAAGTGAAGGATTTTTATAAGGTAGTGTCTTAAAATTTTCCAGTTCCAATCTTCTGTAATTCTTGAATAGTTTTTGCCTTGCATTCTGGAGGCAATTTAGTTAAAAGGCCATCAGTCTCTAATCATTTTCTCAGTACAACACACCATTAATAGTTCAGACAACTCAGAGCCCAACATTCGGAGTTTATGAGTAAAGGAGAACATGGCCTAAATAACAACCAAGTTGAAATGCAGCTGATCAAATCATTCTGTCCAGGGAAAACAGCTTTGTTTATTTGACATACAGTGTGTGGTTCTTTAGGATGGAAAATTTATACCAGGCAACTTAGTTGAGAGTAACACAGAATATCTAAATGATGAACAATTGACCCCCCATTTCTGTTTCCACCCATGCACCTTATCTTCCAGAAGCCTGGGATGTCAGTGATTATTCTCTGTCAATCAGCAGAGACCTCCACAGCCACACGGTCCCAGATAAAGCCTACATAGGTGCTCAGAGTTTTTGAAGGGTGGTTTTATAAAAACACCCACACCAACACTTTTTCAGTCTGACTGCAAATCTGTGGCAGATAATATACTCCATGGGAGCCAATTATGTACCCCTGTTCTGGAGCAGCCAAGCAGTGGCCCTTTTATCCTCTTTGGTTTCTGACACCAGGTTGATTTGCTCTTCCGCCGGCCAACTCCCACATCCAGATTGCTGTGCCCTTGATTTCCCACCTGTTCCTACTTAGGGAACCTTCTTCCCCCTCAACTTGGTCTGACCCAGCACATGGCATTCCAATGAACTGCCACCTCCTCTTGTATCTCAGGCTACATCTTCATTTGACCTCTGAAAGTCAAACGGTCGGTCCTAGTGGAAATGCTTATCATTCTGCATGCAACATCAGGTCCCCTAAACAGGAAGGGGTCCCATGCCCACAAACTCCCAGGCAAAGGACTCTTGTTCAAACCGGTGGGGGAAATGGAGAAGCCAGTCAAGAGGCCTGAATGGGTCTTAAGACCCTAGGCAAAAAGAGCTACTTGTTTTCTTCGCTTGCAGAACAAAGAGCTTTACTTGTTCTCTTTACTTGCAAAGTGTTCTTTTGCTCACACACAAGTCTGAGAGGAAGTGTGGGGCCATGGATGAAGCCCAGGAGTTTCACAGATCGGGTTCTAAGTTCAGGCTCTTTCATTTACTAACTAACTGTGTGATGCTGCAAAGGTACTGTAATCTCTCGGCCTTGATTTCCTCATCTACAAAATGGGACAAGTATAACACCCACCCCAGTAATGACATCCAACATATTTAGTGACCAATACGGCATGGGCAGTGCTCAATCAGCACAGAAACCAACTGTTTGGACAGGCCAATGCATGCCTGTCTTGCCAAAGGGTTTCAGCCCTGGGCAAGTTCACTATGGATTCAATTTGACCAAAGAAATGACAGTAGAACGTTCTTGGGGTGAAAGGGTTTATACTCAACTTTATTCCCATGGTGGCAGGTCAATCACTAGAATCCCATCCACTCAGAGCAAGTCTGCATGCAGAAAGCTAGTCTCTGCCTCTGGGCCTCTTCACCCCCACAGCCGTCTCAGTCTCTGTTCTCAGTGCTGCCACCACTCCAGTATCTGCTCTCCTGCAGCCATGCCACCTGTCACCTGTCACCCAGAGCACTGGGCAGAGCTCTTTATATAGAGTCAATAACAACGTATTGCCCACACATGTGTAGTGAGCTAGCCAACCGAGGCCAGGTGAGAATCCTGGACACAGGAACCTTCACTTTATCCACAGTGCCTCACAAGTTGTTGTGAAACCTGGATGAGATGATGCATAGAAACTTGATAGCAGAGTACCAGGTCCAGGGTCAGGACTCAGGAACTTTTACGCATGATTATTTTTACCTAGTGAAGAAGACAGGTAAAAGAATTGTCCAGAAGTACAGTGAGTCTATGGCAGGCCAGGGTCAGGGCTCCCAGCCCCTGTTGTTG